GGAAAGATGACCTTTGTATGCATTAGTTTCTTTATCTGTAAAAAGGGAGAAAAGTTCCTTTCAGCCAAAGCGATTTAAGATCCATACCATTTTTTTGATGACATTTTCATGTCATGAAATGGAAAATACCATAAATGTACAAAGCATTTAATAAAATACAAATGTTAAATTGGGTTCAGATTTTAGAAGTTAAATTTGAGTTTGCAGTGCCTCTATCCTGCTACAGCACACTGCAGTGTTAGGGTGCAAATGTGTAGAGCTGCATGTCAAACAGGGAAGTTGTTCTGCATTCCTATATGGTACTTGAGAATCTGCCCTTTTGAATACAGTGGTATTAGCATACGAACTGCAACAATTGGTGACAAATTGGAGGGAGCTTAAAGAAAAGTAACAAAAATGAATAGAAGGGGCTAATCCAGCAAAAAAATACAACAACACTTATAATAGCTAAAATGCAGATGAAATGATGAGATTCTAAACTGCAAGGGAAGAATGAAATTTTTAAATCAAGTAAAACATATTAGGAAACGGTTTTTAAAAGTGAGCTCTAATATAGTTGATGCCTAATAGTATGTCTGTTCTGTTTCCATAATAACCTAGTGTTGTTTTTCTATTTTTATCTAATAGTAAAGCATGCACATGTAAGATAAAATATTCAGTGCCTTAACCATGTAAAATAAACTGGGTGAAATCCCTTTACATGTGTTTATATTAAGGAGGGGAAAATACTTTTCAGTTCTTTAGTTGAAATAAGAGATTGAACATTTTTCTCACACTGCTGCAGGAAAATGGCTGAATCTGGAAACTTGATCTAGACCCCTTTCATGAGGATATGTTTCATGTATTGTGTTGTATAAACACTTGCATACACATTCCTATACAAATACTGCAGAACTCTTGCAAACAGCTTTATATCGAGGGAAGCAAAAATTTCAGATGGCAGAAAAATATATCCTGTATTATTAATGTTACCTTTTTATTTAACGGTATTTTAAAAGTATTTTTAATGTTGGTTGTTCAGTTAAAAGTAACAAAAATCCTGAAATTAGAAAATAGCTGTCTTAATTACTGCACATTTGTGGTAAGTATAATTTTTAAAAATGTAATATCCCAACAACTGACATGGCCAAATTAGTCACTTTAGAATACTTTGTCTTTTTGTGTTTACCCCATTTTTTCCTATTTCAGTGTTTAATTGGATATGTTTCAAATTTTTTATGCAAATTATTCTGGATATGTAAAATGGCAAAATTAAATTGTAATGGAACCTTTACTGTAGTTTTTGTATTTTGTGATTTACAGTTGTGCAATCCTTAATGTTAAATTCAGTATCTTTAAGTCTATTTGACTGTAGAATAACGTTTGGCAAGGAGTTGGAGGTATTGAAAACTGGCCTGGACAAAATAGTAGAGAACTGTTAGATGAGTGGATATGATCCAGTACACTTTTTTTTTTTCTCCTAATTCTGAATTGAATACGGTTGTGCACTCTCTTCTTTTTTCCCCTCTCTCTTTCTTTCTCTCTCTCAATTTTAGTTGAAAAAAAATTTTTGTCTGCCTTGTCTTTTTAAGATTTTTTTAAAGAATACACATTTTTTCCTTTCCCCACATTGCTCCACTGGTTTCTTTTCAATATCATGAATGTCAAGAATTAATTGAGTCATCCTACAGAAAGGAAGAAAGAGGTGTTTTGGTTCATATTTCAGCATTGATACTAGTCTTTTTAAGAAGCTTTTTGTTCTCAAGCTTTCTCTTAGTACAGGGTTTTTTATGTAATCAGATAAACAGTATGAATAGAAACCATTTCCCTTCTTGCTTAGGTTTCACATCCTTGATGCTTATCATAATCCTACTTTTTCTCTTGTTGTCCATAGAATCTTTCCAGTTTAAGAAGATTTACATTTACAAGCTGGGTTGATCTACACAAACTTGTGAATTAACGCTGTGTTCCCTTGTGACCAGAAGAAACTGCTTTATGACTAAGAGAACCCCTGATCCACATGACAAGATATTTAGCAATATGACATTAGAATGTGAAAGGGAAAGGGAGAGGAGTCTTCATCCTACTGATGCTTTCCTTCTTTGCAAATCTCTTCCAAGCTTTTAAAAAGGGGAGCAAATAATACCAAATAAATCAAAGCCTGACTTTGTTCTCTTTGCCCTAATCTTCATCCTTTGCAAGATGAAATTTGATGAAGTGATAGACTAGTTTTATTTTTAAGGACAGTTCCAATTACTGCATATGTTGTAGTATGGGATAAAAACTAACGTGTACCCTGTGTATTGTTTATTTAAGTATCCGCTCAGTGATTTAAGCCGAACAGACCTGAGGAGCAAGAAAAAATTTTCATTGCAACTTCGGTTGATACAATTACATTACTAAAAATATTAATTCTTCATTAAATTGGCTCTGCTCTTATTCATTTATTTACATGCTAGCTTTTTGGAAGTTGCAGACTAGTATCCTTCCACCAGGGGTAAAATTGGTTGTGGAAAGTGTGTAGACAGGGCATTGGTATTTTACCACTGTCATCTAGATCTATTCTCTGAAAGGGATTAGATGACAGCGGTGGAAATGCTGACAAAACCACAACACCTTCGTCCTGAGGGTAGCCTACAGCAGGAGATTTTTAAAAAGGCTGTAATATTTCTCATAATGGTTTTCACTGTGGAGACTTGTATGCTTTTCCTAACTTTTTTCTTCTTCCCAACCTTTTCTAGTTGCTACTTAAAAATATATTAGCTAATGTTATTGGAGGGGGGGAACCCTGGAATCTAGCAAAGGCAGTTTAGCACTTTCTAAACTGGTGTTTAAACTGAAGTTAGCTCGTCATGCTGTAATGTGCGTGGCTAGTTTGAGGCCTCATCTATCTACAGTTTGTACTACTTTTAAATCAGTAATTTTAAATTTTAATTTAGCTAGACAAGGAGTGTCCAACCTCTGACCTGCAGGCCAAATGCAGCCCACGGAGTTATACGTATCTCGCCTGTGGAGCTCCCCCCAGATCAGGAAATTTGGTGGCAGGGGAGAGGTGGCAGTAAATAAGGCCACCCTTGTTGCTGCTAAATTGCCTGGCGCCAAGTCACACCCTCTTCCCCCACCTCCCCCATGGATGGATGGGGCTGGGCCATGTCTCCTTTCCCCCATGGGGATGGGCTGGTCCACATCCCTTTCCTGCATGAGGCAGGGCTGGGATGCACCCTCTCCCTTTCCCCTCCCCTGGCAGGGCCAGGTTGGAGCCAGAACACCCCCTGTCTGCCTCTGCATAGCCAGATGGGGCCCTGCTGTGACTGCCTCGTGCTGGATCGGAACCATCAGCCAGGTCTGGCCTGCAGATAGCTTGGGCTCTGCCTGTTTGGCCCACTAGCCAAAAATGTTGAGTACCACTGAGCTAGACCAATACAAATTCCCTGTCCAGACATAACAAGGCCTTTTCAGTCTTATGTGCAGTGCAGGTTATTTTAGTGTAGCTATTCTCCCTGTGCATGTTCGTATTCCAGAATGAGGCCTTGTCTACACTTACTTGATTTTTTGTGGGCAGAAATTCTGATGGCGGACAGCATCTACCACTGCCAAACCACCAGAGCACGTACCTGTTGTATGTTTCTGGCTGTTCCACTGCATCAGTTTTGCTAACAGAGTACAAAGTTTACCCCGAGAAAGGACCAGCTGCTTAAGAGGCTATGAAAGCTGCCAGAAGGCAGGGGAGCGTCTACATATGTCTTCTGAGAGGTGGCAGACAGCAGCAGAAGCCTGAACGTGGTGTAATGCTGGTGGTTAAAAGGTTGGTTCTAACACTGCAGAGGAACTCCTAAATGTCAGTGGCGAAGCTTTGCCAGCAAAACGTAGTAAACTAGACTGATATATTCTGAATTAGCATAATCCCTTCTGTAGTTAGTTGAAGTAGGTGTTCTGCTTTGAGTTTGTACCCTACCTTTTTCTTTCATTCAAATGTATAGACTGGTCTTAGGGAAAAGTTTCTTACCAAGTGTCAGCAAACACGAGACCTCCATAGGATAAAATTCTAGTAAAGCCAAGTAGTATTAACGTGAATTGACAAATAGTTGTTTTTGACTATTTTTGACTCAAGGCAGCCCTTGTTAGATTCAGGGCACTCCTCAGAAAATGACAGCTCTTAGCTTTTACTTGTCTTTTGACTACGGAAGAGTAACAGCAACTCTATTGCAAAAACTCGGAAAAGCCACAGAAGGTGAGGATGTTTTTGATGTTGTGGATTCCTTTTTGAAATCTCTGGATTTATCTTGTGAACCATATGTACATGTTTGCTACACCTAACAGTGCCCCAGGATACTCCAGCACCCTGGTTGAGAATCACAGCTCTAGACTCTCCCTCCTGGTATTCACCTGTTCATTGTATCTTTAACATGAGCTCACAGGGAAAGGTAAATGCTAGGACAGAGTCTGACAAGGTTCCTTGGGTGAATTTGATCTCTTTTATTAGACCAACCCAAATGGTTGGAGAATAGTTATTAAGCAAGCTTTCAGGTTCAAAAACCCTTCGTCAGGCTCAGGAAGCTGCAGCAGTTGGTGTGTGCTCTTCCTGGATGGAATGAAAAGTAAACAAGCCAGGGGCTGGGCTGGGCTGGGGAGTCAGTTGCCAGGCAGATTATAATGTATCAAAAATCCAATGTCTATGTTTAGTCCCAGGGGTTTAGGTTGTAGCCGTGTTGGTCTAAGGATATAGGCAGACAAGGTTCCTTGGGTGAATTTGATCTCTTTTATTAGACCAACCCAAATGGTTGGAGAATAGTTATTAAGCAAGCTTTCAGGTTCAAAAACCCTTCGTCAGGCTCAGGAAGCTGCAGCAGTTGGTGTGTG